CAATTTAATTATAATGCTTATATAATAATATTCTACCATTGATCTCAACTTAAAATATGTATACATTGTCACAGATTTCCAAAGTGTTCTTAATATACTCTGTAGCTTTAATAATAATAGTTTACCTGTATTACCTATATTATTTCTCGCATCACATCGGTTCTTGTAGAGATGGCTGTGCTCAATATAGATATTAAGTTCATTTGGGTTCCCTCCCATATGGGCGTCACAGGTAATGAAAAGGCATATGCGAGACAAACCAAAGCGGCTCGGGGTGCTACTTCAAAGTCCTCTACTCTGATTACTTTTTCTCGCTGAAGGAAAAGTTTGACAATAAAATTGATCGAGTATTTATTGAATACTAAGAGAGCTTATTACTTTCATCTATAAAAAACTAAGAAACCATGTATTACCGACTTTTGCTTCGCAGAGAGAGCATAGTCATAGTTACGTGTCTTAGAGTTAATCACTATAATTTAAAACATAGTCTTTTTTTAGGAAAAATTTTATTGATGATCCTACGTGCGATTGTGGACACCCTATGCAAGATGCGAATTACTCCAGTTTACGCTGGCCACGCTAAATATGTAAACTTTGCTTTGTTGAAAATCATCAATCCCAATCTGAACGGTCTCGTTGTCCAAGGCTTGCAGAATCCTTCGCCTAGACTCTGACGTTTCTTATACAATTTAGCAAAACATCCAATTGCAATTCTACTTTTGTCTATGGCGCGTGTTTCTGCGCAGCTGACACGCAAGCACAGGGATGTCCTTGTTATCTCTCCTCTTTCCATCCTCAGTGATCTCGTTGTTTTTCCAAATAGCTGTGCTCTCTCGGTGCTGTGAATTTCTTTGAAGGCGCTTCATCTGCCTTCTTTGCTCACAAACCACTTTATGCTCTTATCTGTTTTTTATGCTTTACGTTACGTTCTGTTCATATCTCTGTCTTTTGCTCTGGCCATATTGACCTTCACATCAAATAGGAGGTAGGAGCCATAAACAAAAAAGAAGAAGAAGAAGAAGAAGATACGTATTATTGGAAACGGGGGGAAGAGAGGAGTGCGAAGGGAAAAAATGGGAGATGCTCCGATATTGTCCTTAGCGTAAGGCGCACGATTGAGAGAGAAAGCATAATTGGACGTGATGTCCTTTCTCTGTCTCACACATTTGTTGTACGAGTGAGATATCCCAGTGTCTCGTTCACCAATATTCATAACAATACTTTTATTATGTACAAAATGTTGTAATGTGCAAAATGTTATTATGTACAAAATGTTGTATTGTGCATAAAAAATTTTAATACTGTAAAAAATTTGTATGCATAATTACAATATTACGTGTAATTTTGAGACTCATTGTAATAGCTTTACATGCATTTCTAAATTTGCAGTGTGCAAATGAAATTAATATTTTGTCGCAAGATTGCAAAATTAAATTTATAGTTAAATATAAGAACATATAATAAAATAAATAAAAAAAATATAATATAATGCCGCGCGTCGAACGTCAGGAGACATCATTCCTGCCGATGCGTATATACACATATACACGATATCATATTCAGAAAAATGATAAAAATTTAATATACAGTGTAACTTTTTTAAGTAATGATATGATTTTGAATCGTTATTTCTGAGCTTTATTTTTTCTTTTCCTATTGAGATGAATCATTTGATTTTATTATTTGATATTTTTCTTGCTTCATAATGTTAAATTGTAAATTTGATGCAGTGTAATGAATGCTGCATTTCTGCCAATCTACAAGTGACTTATTGCTCTCAATGAATGAATTTTGAATTTGTAATCGCTGATGAAGACTTTAAAGTCTTGAAATCTTGAAGAGCCGAAACGTTCGAAATAAAATGAAGATAACCATTAACATCTGAGGATTATCTACTTCTCCTACCTCTTCGCATCTACAACAGCATATTCTCATTTAGCCCCTCTGAAACTTTTATTATTTTTTATTTTTATTGTTTATTAATATTTATTAACAACAATTAATTATAAACATGTTTCCGTACCTTATCCGATGCCATTCTCCGTATTTTATATTTTCTTAATTAAAAGTTTCTTGAAATATTGCACGCTTTCATTCTATTTTGCATAGATATTTATCGCAGACATATTTATCGCCATTTACCATGCTTACTTGTCATTCAATTTAATGACATATATACCTAGACCAAGCATTCTCATGCTTTTTAGTAGTGAGGGTAGAAGCCAGAAATTGAAGCTCACAATAAAAGGAACAGAGAATAAGCCTAGATTCACGAACAGCACTTCGATATCGAACACTAATTGGTGAAAAACGGATGATAGAGGTAAATTTTAGTCTTACAATCGGCTTTTTATCAATTAAAGCTCTGTATCAAAGCGCTATTGTCTGTATGAGAATTCGAGTTAAGAATTTCAACCTATCAAAAACTGTGTATTCCACAATACACGATTTCTGATAGGTTGAATTTTTATTCTCTGTTCCCTATTCCTTTTATTATGCAGAGCTCCTAACAATTTAGGTGGAATATTTATAATAAAAGTATGGCCAATAGAGTGCGAATGAGACAAAATCGGAAACGCGCGCATATTTTCAAATACACTTCAAATCTGAAGTGTAAAACTGAAATTGTACACCCAAGAACTTCGATTCTTTCTCTCAATGTTCATAAACTGAGAAATGACCACTTTTCTACGTTGATGCGCATATTCCGTGTGTAATTAACGACACGACTAAATTATATTACGTCCGTTTACAACTAAATTTGACATCAAGACAAAATAACTTGAATTCTTAGAAGTTTTAAAAAAATAACTGAAGAAAAGAATCGAAGTCCTTATGGTGTACATATAACAATGGATTGATGGACGTTTAGCAGAACACAACTATTTTATGAATGTCTATGAGATAAGATCATTCCTTTAGATCTAAAAATATAATTCAGCGCGAAGAAAACTTTCAACAATTGCAAGATAAATATTCTGTTGAATGCAAAAGGAGAGAGCCAATAATTTTATAATGAATAAATTAAAGAAGAATAACAACAGAGGTAAATAGAAATAGAATAAGTAAAATTTGTTTAAAAATAAATAGTATGAAAGGAATGAAAATTCATTTAAAAATCTTAAAAATAAGATTTTAGGAGTAAATTTATTACCATTTTAAGAATAAATTTAAAAACATAAGGTAAAAGTAAAGACTCTTTAATATTAAAAGAAAATTAAATAAAAAAAGGGCATCTAGAAGTCCGGGCGTGGAAATTGATACGCAAAATGAAAACTGATGAAAACATAGTATATAAAAACTAATTATCTATAATTATCTATAATCTATAATATCGATCTATATAGCACAGAATTTGCAGCAGTGTTGCTGCAACTTTTGTGTAACTTTGTGCTTTAGGGCTTACAGAGTATACTTAATTTTTTATTAGATATGTGTGTGTGTGTGTATATATATATATATATATA